TTCTTTAATAACACCTTTCGTCAATTTATTTCGAAGCTTCAGTATGCTTTCCATTAACATTAATAAGGTGACAGAAACAAATGCAGTAAGTGGTGATAGCTTTGTAAATAAGGTGCTACATTTATGGGCCTTTTAATGTACAGGGGACACAAGCTCTCAAGAAAAATCTGAATCATAACTCGGAAATGCTCGTTCGTCCAATATCTCCGTTAGCCATATTGTAAATAAGAATGCGAACAGACGATCAACCTTGTTACAGCGACATGGTTGCTCGCGTACACAAGTAAATCTGCTGCGGTGGATTCATTAATCATTGCTCATCTCATCCACTTACCTATGGATAGTAGATCCGTCTGCATAAACAATTGCTTCTTCGCGTTGCTGTGACAAAGTCGATTATCTGGTCGCATCTCTATTTGCAATACAACTGACAGAAACATTAGGATGAACTGAATATTTCACCCACCCTTAAAGTTCGAACCACATTTGGAGGCATGAGCCATGAAAGCAACACTTCACTTACAAAATCATCATCAGTCATCTAAACCATCATGCACTACGGCACTACATCCATGAACTTTCACATTTTGATATTAAGCTGATTCTACAGTGAGCGAGTGATAGTCGGTAGTCTAAGTCTCTCTTATCGGTGAAGTTGGCCAACAGCCAGTTTATACGACTAAAACTACCGATTTTTTTAAGACTGACCAAATTCAACTTTATTCTTTCTTTAGTCGAGCTAAATGACTCATTGTACATGCATACTCGTAGATGCGAAAAATCAGTCATCTATTTAAATTAAAACTGGTTAAAACTTAAGATTTCGTAAAATCAGCATTACTATTATTACTGATGGGTCCTTATATAAATGTTACCGCACTGTTATCGCCTACCGGTGAATAAATAGTTTTTGAATAATGCAATTGAGTTCATTAGAACTATATAATAATATTAGAAATAAGAATACACAATTTAAAAAATAAAGTATACTCTGCTCAAATATATTCAATGTTGATGCCAGTGAACATTTATAATTGAAGAAATTATTTCATACTTAAATTAAAGCAAATAGCATTTAAGAATAAAATAATCGTTAAAGTTGACGACTATTCAGATTTAGGAAATCTGTCATGCCGATGATATAGAGGGATATGAGAACATATATAGTAAGTGAGACTAGAACTGGAAAGATCTTGCTTTTAGACTATAATGATTTCTATCTAAACTTTTGTCAAATTAGTACGTTTTGAACAAAAACGCGTCGAACGAGAATAATTTCATTGATTTTTAAGAGGATGTGTCTAAATTGAGCAATTATCTTCGATTTTTGCAATTTAAATATTCGCGTTACGAAAGACGGTCAGGTCTTCAGCTATAACAGTATTTCTACTGGCGAAAAAAAATTGGAAACCGTTTTCAGAACAAAAAGATTTTACTCCTTTCTATTACTCCGTGGTTATAAACTTGTAAAGATACTCTAATAACTCGCTACGTGCAGCGGCAGTGATGGGCTTTTGGCCATGAGCAATTTGCCCCTCTACTTGCCAATTGACACTCGGTTGGCTGAGCGTGGCATCAATTGGTGGAGCCAAAAAGACCGTGTATAATTAGTTGTTTATAGTTCTCTCGTTGGCAACCTTGTAACCGTCGTCAGTTAATTTAATCGACGTTGGCAAGAAAGAGCTTTAATAAGAAATATAAATGCTGAGACATAACGCTAGGTTGAGTCGACAATAATGCGGTTTTCGCGTATAAAAAAATTTTTATCTAATTTAAATGTATTTATAAATCCAAAATACAAAATGTATTTAAATACATGTTTCAAATACTTATCCTGGATATACACAACTTGTAATCACCTCGCTGAAGATGATTGAAAGAATGGCGAAGCATAATATGATTTGATTAATCATATTTATGATTTTCAATTGATTTGTCTTGACATATTATCGCACACAAGTACCGCGCCTGACTTGTATATTTGCTGTTTCCTCATTTATTATCCGTTCAATTGTAAATTTTCTTTTGTAAATTGTTTAATTATTATAAAAAAATAATTTTATTTAAAAAAAGGAGAATAAAGCTTGCACAGCGATAATAAATAGATAAATAGAAACTACTAAAAGCGAGGAAAACAAGTGTAAGAATAGTTAATTAACATTTACTCTCATGAAAGAACATACATAAAATGCATTACATAATACGTTTCGACTAACACTGAGTCTTTGTTAGTCTTTGTTGAAGAAACTTCTTACTAATTGTAAGAAAAGAATAATTATACATATTGATGATAATTTTATTTGTAAGTTAATTGTACAATAATTTTACATATATAAATGCACACTGTAATGGATTTTAAAATTATTACTAATTGTGTGTTATAATTTTACATGAATTCTTTTTACAGTGTAAGTATGCATATACAAACCATTATCTGCAGTCCCGAATTTAAAATTCGCCGAAATTTGATTGGGGTTTTAATTTTTGATGCAAAGGAAATTGATTCTGCTATTAACGCGTGACTCGCTGAACATTATCGTGTCTTGTATAAATATACAGTGAAAGAGAGACGAAGAGAGAAAGGAAGAGACTATGAGTTTACGGTACCAGCGACAAGAAATTGCCGCCACGATGAACTTTGAGGAGGACTTTGAGGTTGTTACAACCTACTGGAATGGTTGTTCGACGCTCGAAGTTGCACCCAAGTACTTTTACAATGCGAGCTGGTGCCGTGGCGTGTAACCGTCTATCGAGCGGCGCGGCGCGGCGCGGCGTACTACGTAGTACTTTTGCGATTCTCGTAACTTTAACACAACTATCATTGGTAATATCTATCTCGGTAACTTGAGACATCTTGGTCCGGTTTATTGCAATTCGATTGCTTATCGTGCAGACGGACGTACAAAGGAAGCGAAGTTTCCTTCGTTAAGAGTCTCCCGCATAAGTCTGAGATGACTCGCCGGAGGCATTCGCTTGTCTGATAGAATTTTATGAGGAGTTTTCTCTCCTCTTCCCTTTAACACGTAGGATATCGTGCTTTGATATCCGTGCACGGATTTATGTGTAAAATAATATGTACTTTTATACATAATGATCACGGAAACAGAATATTACAAGCTGGTGTAGTAACTTTTGCAGCAATAAAAACTAAATAACAAAAATATTAAATGAGAATATAAAATTACATTTTGAAATAAAATATAGATGCGGTACGTTCTCTTTGTCAATAAGTTTTATTTAATTCTATACAAAATACATTTTGATAATATTTATACATTAAAAATTCGGTGATAATGCAAGCGTAGTATTTTGCTTTATACAGTATGTCAATTGAGAAATATCGTTGAAACTTTAGTAACAAAGTAACTATAAAATTGATAGAATAAAATTGGACCTAATAAATTACAATTTAATTGAGTGCCATACATATAGACAGAAATTAATAGGAATAGAAGCTTTTTTCATTAAGAGAAAGAAACTTGAAACAGCAAGAGTGAGCTTATTTAATCTCGTTTCTTAGCGAAGTTTCTCTTCCGAGTGTGAAACCATCTTTCATATAAAGTGTCAAACAATCAAAGCATTTATGACTATGGATCAATAAGTAAAAGAGTGTTAGTCAAAATTTGTTTCTAAAATTGAACTGGAATGCTGAAAATGTTTTTATATGTCGATTTGAAAAAAAGAACTAAAACATTTTTAGTTTATAATTATATACAAGCTCTCTTTCTCTCTCTCCCTCTCTCTCTCTTTCTCTCTGTCTCTCGTCGTATTTAACTTACTATATTTGGAACGATTCTTCTTTAATTAATAGCTCACGCCTCCAGATATAAAGTAGGAGGACGATATATTTGGAACGATAATACTTATCAAAACTATCATTATGCGCAAATTTACGTTAGAATCATAAAGCGCGTTTATAAGAAACAATATTGTAGACATTACAATTTGATTTCCTAAATATTGTTTATAAAATAATTAATTTTAATATTATACATATTTTATTTAAAAGCTTTTTTGTAAAATAGAAGCTCTTTTATGAAAGTATCATATAAACTCTATGAGTTGTATAAAATTAAATATTTTATAAATATTTTATGTTTTCTATTTTATTTTAATTATAATAAGTTTGTTTCTTAGGTAACTTTCATAAATTATGATAAGGCATTTTCTTTGTAGCTATGCTAATAGTTTCAATCTTCTAATTTTTCTTTATACTACATCTAATTGTTAACTGAAATTTTTAACACAATTAACACTGTACTGAAAATATAAAAAAGCTTTAAAAAAACATATACGAGCAAATTTTGTGCTACACACAAAAAATGCATAGCATAAGTCTTATTTCACGAGTATAAGTGTGTGCGTATGCTCGCACACATTCACACAAAATAATGATGTATTAGTAATTATTATTGATTAAATGTATTAACGACTGCCACTGATTGCACTAACGAATATTTGGTTTTACTTGTAATTATAAATTATGAACACAATGGTCTCCTTTTATAAGGTCTATTGTTTATAGCTGAACTGTAATGTGCACTTTTGGAAATTAAAATAGAATATATATATATATATATATATATATATATATTTGATATTTGATTAAAGTAAAAAAAATTCTACTGCAGTCTAGTGCAGGAATAAAAAATAGACCTATTACATATTTACATTATTTCATGCGCTTGGACACTTGTCATTTTAATATTAAATAAGAATAGAAGTTTTAGTTTAAATAATACTTACAAATAAACTATTATTTTCATTTACTACACATTTAACTTTTTACGTACTTAGGAAGATGAAAGTAGGTTTTATAAATATAACTTATATTTACACGTATATATTGACCGTAGAGAAGTAATATTAAAGAAATATTGAATAAAATATTACGAGAACATTCTTTCTTGGTAAATAATTCTTGATAAGATTAACATCAGTCTTTTATATAAAAATATGTTTTATATTTATTCAGTCTAGTACAATGTACATTACCGTTAGAATTTTTAATAATTTTCAAAAGCTGATTTCCTCTACGGATGTGAAGCAATCAGTAAATCACATATCTGTCTTTTCATCGAACTCTCGGAGTATAGTAGTGTTAGGGCGATGAAGCTTGGCCGCTTTGATCTTAACTAATCAAGCAAATAGTGGATATATCGATGTACTACATATCCTCAGCCTAATGACCTATCAGTGATGTAGGTATATAAGTCAAACGTCGAAGCTGCATCGTTCACCTTGTTAAAGATTTAGAAACATTCAATATACATAATAGGATAATAGATGAAGATATCTTATCATCACGTATAGAAACTCAACTATGTATTCAAATCAGAGTTTCTGAAACTAAGATAAATCAGATTTACTACTGATACATTTCCGCAAAGTCCTATTCAATTTAGTAACAACAAGATGGATTCGAAAAGTATTTATATCACGATTCTGATCAATAATATAGAAGTTGAAACTAACGTAATAAAAAAATGTAATTATTATTTTTACCTCTTATATATAATATATTTGTTTTTTAATATTCAGAATGATGTAAATTTACAATTAACATTTAAGTATAATTGGTTCCAGGATATTTTCCTTTTAAATACTTTATTTGAATACATTATTAACGTTTTTATGTTTCAATTTTATAGCCTTTTTGCTTCTGTTTGTAATTCATTATCGTACGTTTCGTTGCGTATTTATCGGTACCATTTTCCAGAAACGTCTGGATAGTACATTTATCTTTGGCATACCAATCGGATAAATCCGTATACAGTTTCGGCATTTTCTGCTTATGCAGCACTTCGCAAAGGGTACAAACGGCCCGCTTTGTCCCTCCTTTGACTTGATAATATTTCTTCCATTGTAAGAAGCTTTGATATCGCTGTAGATCCTGAGAGAGATATTTCAAGTACGCGGCAAGCTCCTTCGGACTCTCGAAGTCTAAAGCATTTACGTAGGAATTCGGTGGTGCGAACTGACTATAGTTGGCGCTTCCGTAAACCACCGGGACGACATTATACCTGCAAGAATATATCGATAAGAAGATCCCATTATTGGTTATTTAGTTGATATTATTTCCCTGCAGTTTCGATTATTCTTGTGGAACTGTATAGAAAGATATGATAATTAAGCAAACCGATGAATCATGCAAAATTGAAATAAACAATATATAGATACGATTAACTTTCCGTATTCAATACTGTTGTATACCTATCTGTATACATTAATTAACCATTATTTAAAAAATAAAAATTATTTATTTATAAAGAAAAGATATTGTTTCTGAGATCTAAATAAATTATTACTAAATTATAATTTTTCTGGTAAACACAGCTACTTAATAGGTATAAATTACTAAAAATGATTAATAAGAAATATTGCTTTGACAAATATTTAAAGGAATTTTGAAGACGATTAGTCATAGTGTAAGTAGAACATATACACAGACGATTTGCGAGTCACTAACACATCACTACATATTACCACATCAATATCTCATGTACACATTCACATAAATTCCAAGTTTAATTCTAAGAACTCCACGTTGTTTCTTTGTGCAAACTATTAGTACGTCAATTACTCTTTTGTAAATACAGATTGCACAGCTTTTATATGAAAATGATGTGACAGCTCTAAAGCGCTATGTTTGACTAAGAAGTAGTAAAGGTTTCAATTTTGAAATTTTTTTGATATTTTTGAGCATAAGCTCCAACTTACAGACATATATTAATTAATGCGTACACTTTAATTCTAGAAAAGAATTTTTTTAAATCTGTAAAAGAGAGGAAAAAGATATTATTTGTTATACAAAAGTTATTCGGTAATACAGACGACTTTAGATTCTCCTTGATGCACTTGGTAATTTTTTGTCTTCGATTGGATTGGATTGGTACAATAAGTACACACCCTTGGTTACACGCGTGTAAATGACAAGGGCAGATGTCTTTTAATGTGTAGCCTATGTACATCAAAATATATTTGTCATCAGATATTGGATGTATGCCCGTAAAATTGGATGATTCATAATATCAAATGATAAACGGACATATTTAACGATCACCAAAGCATTGTTCACATTGTGCTTTGTCGAGCTCGTGTGAACAAAAACGGGAAAGAAACACCAGCGCATGGCGTTATCGTTACCATTTGTACTTTGCACAATCCGCAAATAGCAATAAATTCGATTCACTTATTGACGTGTTGCTGTATCGATTCTATCACCGCGATGATAATATTTCAATTCCAGACAATCGTAGAATTTTGATGTCAACTTTATGCTCATTGCATTTGCATTAAACGTCAATGCGTAACGCAGCAGTCAGTGGATCTGCGCACAATTTGAATAGGTTCTACACTTGATTGCATACGAATAATACGATTGTTAGAAAATGTCGATCAAATGTTAATAATCTTTTTTTTTTTTTTAAGAAAACATCTGCAATATGCTCGTTTTGAAAAAAGTGTTTGTAAAGTAATAACAATTCAAAGAAGGTGAAATAGAGATAATTTAGAAAAAATTTTAAAAATGATATTTTTTACATGAGATACCTGAACCTTGTAGCCTCTTATCTATTATGACCTACTCGCTGTTTGTAGGTATAATATAGAATTAAACAGTGACTTCAACAGATAATACTATAGTAAGTCATGCAAACTGTTTGTCTAATTATATATAATTAACAAATTGAGCAATCAAACTAACATACATATTAGTTTGATTGCTTAGTTTGTTCATTCCGTTATCGTCAGGAAAGAAAAATATAGGACATCGCAGTCGTGATGTAATATTTTGTAGATGAGTGTAATTTTTGGCTTTTGTGTATATAATTAAGATATTATTAATTTCTATAATGTATATTATTGTAGCTCTATATTTATATAATTTATAATACGATATTTAACTAGTATTTTTGTTACAATATTTTTTGTTTATAGTTAGAGAAGAGAAAATTCTTTGTAAAGTAGAATTAATATGACTAATCTAGACATACTGAATTTACACACAACAATTGTAACTCTTCTTCTTTAGTACTTTGTTATTTCAAAACATGGATTTTAGGACGTCTGACCAATATGAAATATGTAAATTTTAATATTTAGAATCAAGGCTTGTATAGAAAAATTAACCTATATTATTAAGAATGACGTAAAAGAAGCTTAATAGCATAATAAAATTTTGAATGCAAATTCGAGCCAACAAAAAATTAATTAGTATTGGAAAAAATGCAGTTATGATGAAAAAAAGAGCGATCGAATAAAAATACTGAATAAAATACATATAAATTGTAATTATTTTATTAAAATCGTTTAATGTGCACGAGTTTTTAACGTATGTTGACGAACAAATTGTTATAATACATAAAAAAATCATAACAATTATTTGGACTAGAAGCATTTTAAGAGAATTGTGAGCAAATTTCAAAATTCCAAACTTTTTAAAATTTTCTATTGACTTTTTTCCCGGTCTATGGCAATCTTGTTAATTTTTTTTAATGTTCAAAAATATTTCCTTTTTTGAATCTTCTTTTTCATGTGCCTTATATCCGATTCCTCGGACGTTGGCGATTAATTTGGCCATGATTTCTTCGCCATAATGATATCCTAGGAATCAAATAAACCGAAGTGGTTTTCCGTTGCCTTCTTCAGTATACTTTCATATAGAGGACCTACCAGATGAAGCAATTTTTCGCTCCTTACACGCGAAAAATCGCGTGTGGGCGCAGGTGGGATTGAATTCAGATCTATAGATCGGATCAATCGCACCGAGTGGTGGGTCACTCGACGCCCTTTTTTAAATCTAACCATCAGTTTTCATGATGGCATTATGCATTTACTAAGAATGCCTAAGAACTACTTGCGCATACAATTAAGAAAAACCTCGCAGATATTAGTTAGATTGTCTGTCTTTGTCTTGACTGGTTATCGATAACGATTTCTCGTTATCTGAAGTCGAATTATTACCTGAGTGGATTCATCAGCTTCTCCGTCACGTAATCGTCGCAGAAAGAATTCTCGAAAGATAAGTAGAAGAAGTAGTCGGCCTCGATTACATCTCTAAAGCAGTACTGGTCACAGTTAAATTCGCCGCACCTGCCATAAATATCGACGTCTATGTGTTTCGACAGTTCTTCCACATATTCCAGTCGGCCACTTTTGGCATAGCAGTTGCTTACCAACCAAGATACTGGCTTGCTTTTACCTCTGATCATGTCCAATATCGCAGATGGCACTTCAACCGCATCCCCTGCATTTGCGAAAACTGATTAGGTCTCGCATACTCGAGGAGGTAGCTTTACATGGTGAGAAGCTTGACCACCCGAGAATTTGTTATTGAGACAGTTTGTAGACATAGGAGTTATTTGTTTCATGGTAGGAAAATTATATTTTGCATAAAAATCATGCATATTGCACAAGTAGATTAAATGATTGAATAAAGATTGAATAAAGAAAAAGTGGATATACAATGTAAACAAAAAATGTATTACTTAAATGATTTTGAAAAGCGCTCCAATCAACATCCTTTGAAGGTGCAACGAATTCGCCACTTTTTACATCTTCTATGATAATATAAGCCCAGAGTATGTCACTATCAAGACGGTATGTCATTGTGAAGTTGAAAAAGCTTTTCTGATATTTTTGATGCACTTTTCGATTGGCTGGACTTTCCAAATTAACGTAGACGTAAAATTGCGTCGTCTTCCTCTTCTGTGGTATTTCATAGTCATTCATTTCGTTACCATGGAAAAGAATCGCGTCATAATCTTCCACATTCAAATAGTTCCGATCGTTAAAGACTTTGCACTTATCGAAAGGACAATCGCGGAAAATGTCTCCTTTTCCGAAATAAAAGTTCTCATCGCCAAAGAACGTATTCCATAAAAGAATAGTCTTTACGCCTTTCTCTCTGTATGTTTTTGCCCTATCGATTGCATTTACAAAATAATCTTTATCACGAATCATTTTCAGAAACATGTTGTGAATTTCAAAATCACCATAAGTGGCTGAGAAGTAGAGGCAGATTGTCAAGACCGTTACTACAATTAGGCCGATGAAGAGATATGATTTCTTCTTCATTGTTTTAGAAATATTCTTCTGAAGATATAATACTGTCTGCATTTCTAATAAAATTAAATAATATCGCCGTATTAGATAGGCAGCACTCGCCAAAATAAATTTCCAAGTTATACCACACATAGATGTTGCGAATGCCTTTGCATAATTTATTAAACCTTGTTTGCACAATGGCGTTTAATGAGATTTTTTTATTTCTATTGTTTCACGTATATCTACTGCTATTCTACAACAAAAGTTTATAGTGTGAACGATCTTTGAACATTGGCGGTGGTAAAGATTGTGGAAAATAACTGGACGTTTCAATTACAGAAAAGATTCCTTGTAATGATGATGCGGATGTGGTTATGATAAATAAATATAAAGTCATAAATACAATTTGTTCTCCGTGTGGAAGACGAGAGTTGTGAGAGAAAAACTTGTTTCCACTTTTTCCAGCGTCGGCTATCACCTCGGAAAAACTGACTGGCGTATTACTCACGTTGTAGGAATGAGGCACGTATATATGTATGTGGTAATCAAATACGTTAGTTGTGTGTGGCAATTAGAAGACAAAAGAAAGGAAGATCATCATTCGTGAAACGAATCAGTTTAATAGTCTTGAGTTTCCATCGATTTCTACATACGTATGTATAGATATGCAAAATTGGCTTATTTCGTTCTTACGTAAAGTTGCGGTTTTTCATTATATATAATCTGCAGATTGCCTGATTTTAATATTTATAATACATATAGTAAATAAGGACGACATATATAGGCAAGATAATTATTTTAGTATTTGATAGTATTTCTATTTATTAATGATTAAAATGCTTGATTATATGTGTCTTATACCGAGGTATCATATATACACATATATTTATATTCAACAAAATAAGAGATTTTATCTCTTTATAGAAATACGTAGCAGATTTTCAATGTATTGCAATTCTAGAAGAAACGTTTCACATGTTTTATAATAGATTGTATCATTTCGTGCATGTGGGAGGATCAGCTTTACATTTATCTCCAATTAGTATTTCTGTTATGACGCTTCAAAGTCCAAGAGAATTCTTCTTCAATTTCGCGTAATCTGTATAAAACAAAATTAGAACATATTTGTATCAAATTAAAGTATATATTGTATAATAAATTTGTGATAAGATTTATGATGAATTATCTTTTTTTGTTTTGTGTTTTGTCGGCAATGATAATATAAATAGAAAAATATATAAAAATAAATTCCTGATTACTAAGAAGAGTCACACGAGATAAGAACAGTCATATTGATAATCAAAATATTGGAAACATGTAATTTTTCATATTGTACATACATACGTAATTGGAAAGGTAGAAAGCAGGTGATAGAATAAAAGCAAAATGTTGAAGGTATTCTAAGCTTCAAGGAGATATCAAATGCAACTAGTGCGAGAGGACGGGCGATTAATTCGCCACGACTCTTGGGATGAAAGCGCTCGATGAAACAGGCGAAATTTTCATGGATGAATAATCGAGTTCTTTCAAAAGATCGTAAACGTTTGATGTTCTTTTGGGATAGATGTTCTATCCGTTCACTTTGTCTGTAGGCGGGTATCAGAACGGTGGGGGAACGTGAACACGAGGTTTCGTTTGATTAAAAATTGCTCTCTTATGATATCCAACATGAATGGTCTTTTTCTCTACTTGCAACGTAGAACGTGCTTTAATCTCTCATCGCAGTTGCGTTGCATGCAGTACGTAGCATTTTAAGTAGACATTTAAGACAAGCAAGATAGCTAATGGACTAATTGATTAATACGCAGTGAACTATGAGTGATGAAAAGCTAGGTACGAATAAATGAATTAATAAATTATTAAATACATGAAAGAATAACGGTACAGAGAGTATATACACGCAAATGTATAATGTATCAAATACTAAATATAAGGAAAGAATGATTTCGCTCAAGTATCTAAAAATTCAACTATTAGATACATATTTGAAAATAATTTGTTTCATTGTATAGAATATTCATACTATTTGATTTATTTGTACTATTTGGTAGAATGTTACATTTTTTATAGAATGTTTTTTCATGTTTGTGAGTTTCCTATACAATTATTTTGTTAGTCCAACAAAATTATTTTTAAATCTATATCTATCTAAATTTTTAGATACATTAGCAAGATTATTCTTTCTGTAAATTTTTTAATGTCAAGATTAATTGTTATTTTGTCTTTCATTACTTTTGCCCTTATATGTGACGGATATTTGTTTTACGTAAAATTTTATTATTATTATTTATTTATTATATGGACGTATCGATCATATATTTAATACTCAGTAAGTGAGTTAATATTGTAGGCAAATACACAACTGAACCGTTTAATCCTAATTGACAATAATGAGGACTGCATCAAGCCGGAAGGCGGTTAAAATGATGAACGCAGAGAATTAAATAGTTAATGATTAATTTTACGCTCTACCCTGCTTATTTGTTAAAAGCGTAAACAAAATTATTTGTCAGTCGCATAATTAAAATAGGACAAATCTCATTTTAATTTATTGTAATTACAAGTAAATTAGAACAATTGCAAATATTATAAATGCTGCAACAATACACACACATATATATATATATATACACATAATACATTATATATTTTATTTAATTTTTTATTAGTTTTAATTACATGCGTGATTATACATTGCATACTTGAGAACGTGTTTTCCGTTTCGATAATTTTATCGCAATTACCAAGTTTATTTTTAAATTATTGTTGCTACGCTATAAAATAGTATATACAAAATTTCTGAAATGAGCAACATTTATACTTTAGTATATTAATTTAATTGTAAAGTAAATATATTCCGTCAAAAGAAAACTTTTTATACGCATTTCTTTACTCTCTCAGAATTCATGGACAATTCAATGCCATTTGCCGTAATTATATTTGATCAATTGAGTTTCAGTTTACTGGCGTGACTAATACCATCACCAACTTTTTTCATAGACATCATGTCACGAGTGTAGTAGATTCCATACTGGCCGTTTGAGGTCATGATTCTCGTAGTGTGTCAATTCGTTAGATACCGACATAACATTGATAGATTACGCTGTCATTTTGTACTTTAGCACACACGTAATTAGCTAATAATTAGCATTAGCGTAAGTTTTTTTTTCGGAGTAACATTGATCGAAACGATGTGACTAATGATAGCGGATGACGAAAAGCAGTTAAATGGAGCGCTGAAGGTTGTCGAGCCATCGCGTTGCATAATCTCATCGCTATTATAAGTCGCGGTCGAGATCGCATTTACGTGCAATTTAACTCGTGTTACACGACGCGATTTTCGATTCGGTAATTTGTACCTTGCGTTTCCCTCGGATTAATTTCGATTGGTCCTATCACGCCGTGAATGAATACTTTTTCGTTGCCACGTCCTTGACGTTTCACTATGGTGCAAAATACATTTTTGCAGCCGATTGCGAGTTGTTACGAAATTACATGTCTCGATAGGTTGCATCACTCGTGCAACGAGTGACATTTCGTGTCTCGCGGGACGTATATTGTACGTATACGTATCTCGCGACAGTCGCCACTAGCACTACGACTTGCTGCCTTGAAAGTTGCAACTCGACTGACTAAACAGAGCGTAGATATCCTATAACATATCCTACCTACGCAGACTGTTCCACTATTGATCTCGGTAGTGGAAAAGTAAAACGATTCGCGGAATCCGACATTGCGTCAAATGGAAACATCTTGTGAAGAAATGCCCGACTCTGTAATTAAAGTACGCGATTATTGCGATTTTTTCTGAGGAAATTATTATTATTTTATTCGAGCGGCATTTCCAGATACTTTATAATTTCAGGTCGCATACATGCCGAGCACGGCACTGGCAGACAGACAGCTGCGATAATTTTTATGCTTCAATATATCAATTCGTACTGATATGCATATCGTACTGATGTTTGCGTCAAGACGCGTGACACGGAAAAATTTGAAATGCAATAACAATAATTTGCTTCGTTAAATTGTACCGTGACAATTTTTAAGAAATCCTAAAGATAATTAGTCATATTATAAATAGCATTTACACATTGACTATTTAATTTTTGCGTATAACAGTTACGTTTCAATTAGACGTCTAAGTTCAATTTTAAATAAGAACTCCACGATATTTCTTTATGTAAACTACTAGTCTACTAAAAGTGGACCACTTTTTCGTAAATATAGGTGGCACAGCTTTTATATAAAATTAATGTTATCACGATGTGACAACTCTGGAGCGCTATATTAGATTAAGAAATGATAAAAGGATATTAATTTCAAAATTCTTGACATGAACCATTCCTATCACCTCACAAGTACGTATTAATGCGCATCTATTATTTAATCCTGGAAAAGGATTTTCAAATTTGTAAAAGAGAAAAAAATAATTGTTATATAATATATAAATTATTGTACGAATATATTATTATACATATATGTGTTTAGTTGGTAATACAGACGATTTTAGGATTTCCTTAAATGCATGAATTTTTATGTCATGTTAATAATAAATGAAACTTTATAAACGTGACATAGAGCAGACGAAAAAGTTCCAAAACTATTTTGATATTAAATTTTCTGGAGTTTGTAAACTCTAAAATACTAAATGGTCCATACGTGCGTGTACGAAATGATTTAGTTGAAATAATACACACATCAGAGTACCTATAAGCGTAGCGATTTTTATCAAAAATGTATTAAGTGCGATTTATTATACTTATAGATTGCTATTATAGATTTATTATACTTATAGATTAGATAATGTGGATTAAATATACAATAAGTGTTTTAATGTAAAAAATTTGTTAAATAATGCGATCAATTTATACGTTGTTTAGCCCGGAACGAAATACGGTCGATATTAATCTCCTCGTATTCGACTTTAATGGTCAATTTCTTACGACTTAAAGTTTAAAACATCTATTGTAGATCCGGACTAAAAAGTATATGCACACACATTTAACCACGATTATTAATTTCTTCGCGAAGAATTGTGAATATTTGAAAATATTTCATATTTTTTAGTATTTAGAAATATTATTTTTTTCAAATCTCTGATCATCACTTTTCAATTTTGGACTCAGCAGAATATTTAAAAGATGATCTAAATTTTACTAAATTCTGTATTAAAATAAACCTAACAATAAGTATTAAAATCAGCTTTCAAGAATCTTCAACAAATTTCTCGCCGAGTAACTTGTGAGCCACAATTTGGGTAATAGTTTAATTCTTTATGGTAAAAATGATTTTTATGATGTATCTCTTTATTAAAATTTAAAGAAGCAAGTGTCCACTGCTACTCCTCTATACACGTTAATGTACCCAGTATTTTTCTAACAAATATGTTATATACACTTTTAAACATATATTGTCAAAAATTGGAAGTGCACGTTGAAATAAAACATTACAGTTTTACAAGAGACAGCAAATCTTCGAATGAGCTACGTCCGCGTGGTACGGGGAAAGGAGAAGAAAGAGAGAGAAGAAAAAAGAAAGAGAGGTGGGAAAAGTGAGAAGAAAGGGAGAGAAAAAAGGGAACCTTCTGCAATAGCAAAGTATAATACATATGTATGTGTTCGAAGGGCTCCCCTCATTCCCCATAAATCTAATTTATTTCCAAAATAAACCTCATTTTGTGTGGAAACTTGGAAACCTATATGGAATCAGCTTCGCGTAGAAATAATATAAATTCATGAACGCGTCGAATGGGTCTAATTTCAAAGTTAGATGTAAGGTAACTCAATTGAATAAAAACCAGTGTTTTTCACACAGCAACTGAAGCATAAAATATTTATATCGCTGATGTCCTTTCTCTCTCACCACTATAGTCTTGTATGGCCATGTTAACAGTAAGTTTTCGCACATGCGCATTTAACTGTATCATAGAGTTAAAATGAGATAAAATGTTTGTTATCTTTATCTTATCTGCGTGTGCAACGCGTATATGTCGAACTTTTTCACAGTTAAGATGACGATTTGTTGACACATCTGTTTTTCACGTGTCAGCAATCTAGATATCTATAGGCTGAAGTGTTCAATATATGCCAATTACGTATAGGACCTTTTTTTGTAGAAAACATGATGTTAAATATTTTTTATGTAAACATTTTTTTCATAACACGTACAATTTTAGAGATAATTGCAAAAATCTTCTTTTTTGTATGTTTTTTTTCTTATATGGTGAATAATCGTTTCCTTTTTTATGAGGACGTATCTCATCCGTAGATTTACCCAAGGAACATAAAGAGAGGAGAGTCACTGATACGTTATCACGTACATTATCAAAACATAAATAGAAATGCATCCACAACACAAGATGTCATCCGCAAAAGTTATATATTAAAAGAAGAGAAAAATAAACGTTTTGACCAAGTCTTGACCATTCTCAGTATATAGAAATCAATTATACAAAGAATGTGCAATATAAAACAATGATAATCGTTGGATGTGTATACACATATCAATTTATACAGAGTTACCGAATTTCGTACTTTAGACGAGATCAATTATGGAATTCTAATTAACAAATCGAGTACTGCCAGTATTAGGAATCGATATTGAAAAATATTAATAATAAAAATACGTTAAATTTTTGAGAGATGAATTTCCAAACAATTTTAAAGAACATAACTAATCTATAAGTGTACAATAAGAATACGGATGAAAAAATTTTATTTTTTGACTAAAAAGCATACTCCTAATTTTTACGTTTTTATTGTTAATATCCAGCGATTATCATTATTTTATATTGCGCATTCTTTATATAATTGATTTTTATGTACTGAGAATGATCAAAACGACCGAAATATTTACTTTGCTCTTTTTTTAAAATATATGACTTTTGCGAATGACATTTTTCGTTATTTCTATTTATGTTTTGTTTATCATTGAGCCACCTTTCCACATTGCGCTTGACTGTTTACGTACATTATCACTCTATTTTTAGTTGGACTATATTTTTTAAACAAAGTTTTTAAAAACAAAACTTTGGATATGAACTAGAAAATATTTCGTATTGATACTCTGTAGCAATATTTTATAATACTGCTCGGAATTTTTCGTTGGAATTATACATTCCATCGAAATTACGCAATGCAGATTGAGAATTGCGAATTGAGGATAAAAATTCAACCAGTTATAATTGAAAAAATTAGGAGTTTTTATTTTCTTAATCATCTAAACAGATTATGTTTTTATCAGTATTAATAAATTGTAAAGATTAGTTTTTATGAGAAGTAAGGAAGTGTCACTTTAGAAAATTTATGTCAATATATTGGTAACTTTTCTTTATTTTTAAAAATAAAATAGAAAATAGTACCTCGAAATCTCAAAAGTTATTTGTTGTGAGATGCATTATGCGATACAAATGTAGGTATTAGATATTTGAAACAAGAAGTATATTTACGCTAAAAATATTATCTTATTTGCGAATATATTCAACACTTCACACTGTGACTTCTGGTATACATCGCAGCATACTGTTTGAATTTCATTATTTGTAAGTCTATACAAATGCGAAGTTTTCTAATACTCAGAATAAAGTAATAGCATGCTTGAACCGTAACTGGTACGACTCAGTTGTGAATCTTTGTCCTCGTCTATCATTTGTTTAAGAAACATAAATAAAATATTAGCGTACTTGTAACAACAAATATCTCCTATTTCATATAATATATACAATATGTATATATCTCGCGTGTATACAAGTACAACACATAAAAAGACTGCTTAAAATGAGGTTAAAGGAACAACATGAATAATTTTAAATTAGAAGACCGTTTTACTCAGAAGAAAAACATTCTGTCGTCATCGAGTATTTCGATTTTAAATTTAAATCACAGTTTTGACCAAGAAACGAGAACTCTCGACTATGAAACCAATTTTTATGAATGACTTATCTTTAAAATGATTTTTATTGAAGAAAAAAATGGTATCTATTTTAATAAAGACACTGCATTATTTGATGATGTTTATTCAAATATTTTACATTAACTTGCCAATTATAGATTATAAATTTTATATTTCCGTAATATCTAAAATAATAATAAACAATTAATCGAAATTCTTTCAGATCTTTATGATGTTATTGCTTTAGCTTTTATTGTTCATTTAGTATTTATAATTTTAACTGATACGGGGTCACTTATCGTTTTAAACACATAGGTATATCATAATTTTTCTACACATTTTCTGTAATTTTACTACTTAACTAATTGTATATATTTTAAGTTCGTTCTTTTTTCTCATTTTTAAAATTACGTAAATTTTTTTTAAATTAGATTTTTCCCTTTTTGAATTACTCCGAGACATAATTATTTGATTTTTAACAACTTTATCTGCTTTTAATTATATCTCTTGATTAACATTATATTTTCGCCCAAAAAGAATTGATTAAATTAATTTTTTTTACAATAATTAATCACAGTTTTATTTATTTCTTGTTTCTATGACCTTAAAGAATGCATTAATTGTTATTTTTATATTGGATTATTAGAAGAAGAGTAATGCTATACTTTTAGTTTAAAATTGAAATAATTTATAAAAGCAGTTTTAGTCAGTAATATAATGG